TCAAATCGAAATCATTTATTCAGTCTAGGCTGTGCTTGTAGCACTTGTGAAAGTCGAGAGCTACGCCATCGGTTTTTAAATCTACGGCGGGAACCGGCAAGAAACTCGGCAAGGGCTGCTTTTTTCTCCCTGTTGTATTTCATAATGGTTATAGATATCACTATAAAAGCCAATAAGGTTTGTCCATAGTGCCAGATATTTTTTCCATCTGTAATAATCTAAATTTACAATAAATTATCCGGAAGTTTTAATTATATTGATACTTTACTGAGACTAAGATTACCATAATACTTAAGTTAATGCTTGACATTTATATGTATAACATATGTTATATTGTTAACATTATATCGATTCGAAATGCAATCAATTATATTTATCCATGTACATATTTAATTGCATTATTTTAAGTAATGTCTTTTACATTCTTTCATATTTGGCCTCCCGTCCTATGATCGATGCTTAACCTCTGTACCTTACATCTAGAAACATCTAGAAACTTATCTCTGCCATCGAGCTCAGTTATATTTGAATTTCACGAAAGACTGAATTTAATTCAGATGTAAAATCCAGTCACACAAAAGCAGTTTTTTTTTTTAAATCTGAAAGCCTATAATTTTCTCTGTTAACGTATTTTTATGAGACTTGTATTAATTAATATTTTTTGGTGTGAATGACGTTTTAACATGCAATCTCAAGCAAATCTACATGTTTATGATGTGATATTATTACAGTTTTATTAGATTAAAAATCGACCGAGTTCAGTGTTCAACAGTATTAACATAAATAATTTTTTATTCATAATTTGTTCTATTAGAGGTTTAATTGATATACACTATGAAAAGGAAAACTTTTCAAAAATGGATTCGGGTCATTAATCCTAAATAAAACTAAATGTGTACATTGTTATTTTAGACTATTGCAATTTATGTATATTGGTTTTCAATTTGAAATGCTAATTTCTTAAAATCTTCAGGTTTAAGAGCTTCATTTGTTTACATTTTGTGTACACCTCGTTGATACAGAACTCGAAACAAAAAGAATAACCACTTTTTAACAATCGAGGTTTTACACGAGTGCCCCGTAATACGGTCACTTGACCAAAGTGTAGTGACATACTAGTCCTGAAACGTTTCAGTCGATCGAATCTAACGTGAAACCGTGAATAACTGTGGTGCTTCGAAATTGATTTACTTTTTGGTGTTATGTGTGAAATTGACATTGTGAAGCACCGCAACAATCCGTCACAATTCTATTGCCAATTTCCTTGGTCACGTCAAATCATTCCACGTGCTCTACAAAATATTCAGTCGATATCACTGAATCTTTTGTAGGACGCATGGAAACGTCTGTTTTATTCCGAATTAAATCAAATTCCCGTTTCTCCGATTGTAATTATTTATCTAAACAAATAAGGAAATCGAGGAAAAAAGCTTCAAAGGAATTTTTCATGTTTTTTATTATAAAGATAAAAAGCTTTGCGTAAAGAATTACTATCAGGAGAATTAATGTAATGTTACTTTATATTATTTGAAAAACATCTAATATATGATATTATTACGCCCGTTTTTTTTAATCGATTGGAAGGAATGGGAAAACATTATTGCATACCCCGCTTCCGCAGCGCAATTGGCGAGGTTGTATCAAGCTCTCCCTTGGATTCACACGCATAAAATGGCTAGTCAATCATCAAATAGTATAAGTACACCCATTTATGCCCATCGATGTACGCTGTGAAAGATGAGCTCCTATTAGACATTCATATCTGGTGGTTCACCTTCTTTTTGGTCTCCTGCGGGATTCTTTAGCATCTTGGTAATAAAGCTCAAGAACAATTTAATGTTACAGCTCAGACAGAACTTGCAATGCCCAGTCATAGCGCAAATCATCCAGGCAGGGTAGGATATGTGCAAATGAGCATTATTATGCTCAAAATGCAGCGGCGGTTCTAGTGGCGGTGCCCTAGGCAGAGCACTGCAAGTTGGCATCTTAGGCAAAACTTTGGAATGACGCCCATAAAAAATTTACCAATAACAAATTCAGGTCTGAAAATGAAAATGTTGTATACTTTTTAACATCGCGGACATGGACTCATGTTCAAAGAACAAAAAGTCTTTTTTTTAACAAAGGTAGATACTGGAGTTTTAGGCATAGCCTGAGATGATAAATTTATGACCGACTCTCGCAAAAGTAGCTTAACTCTTGTATCGCAGCTAACCAACGTGCAATCAAGCTCCTGGATATAAAGCGCCAATTTAACAATATTTTATAATAAACTTATCATTTCTGAAACAAACCAGAAACTAAGTATGCCTTGGCGTACCGAGGCGCTCACAGATATTGTAGAACACTAGCTCCAGGCGTTCGCAGAGCTGCCTTGGCAAATTTATTGTCTATTTTCACTCCTTTCTTACGCCTGATTTATAAATGCTGTAAATCATCTGTTACTTGGAGACTGATGTGCAAAAACATAATCCTGATTAACTATTGCTATTATTAACATCGTGAAAGATGTAGAAAAATAACTTTGTAATGGTTATAGAAGTTGCAGTGTTTCGACTTAGTAAATGTAACACACTACCTGTATTCGCGCGATTTCGCCCTTGTAAATTGTAGCCTATGACAACCGCGTATGATGTCGCTTCCCGTAGGTGAAAGAATTTGTTTCGGAACCCACCTGTTCAATGCAAACAAACAAAGAAACATCTGTCTTCACTTTGATATATTTGTTTCAAATTGTCTTGCCAATTATTATACACTTGGATAGAAACGTATAAATGATGTTCTTTAATATATAAATTGTACAGCAACTACATAATATAATACAATATTAATTAATTCAAGTAAAAATTAACAGAAATTACAGTATTCTTTTATTCTTAAATCACGTCTGAAATCAAGTCGCGTCGCGCTCTACTTCTCGCTACATTTCGCTATTTTGCCGATACTAGAAATGAAAAACAAATCTTTTTAAAACAGAAAAGAATGCAATTGCGTGCATGAAAATAGAATTTTACTTCGCACTAAGATACATCAATACAACTGTACGTTATTCAATTTATGATGCTTAGTTTTGTACAGTGTGAATGTAGAATCTCTTTGAAGCACATTTTTCATTGGTGTATTACCATATGCGAGGCTCCCCGAATGCGAGATAACTACCTTCTACTCGCATGCGATAATGTTTCCATTCTATGCATGACAGAGACCCCTAGCATTCCACATACGGCCATACCGGCTAGTTAAAATGGTTCACAGAGTAAGAAAGATATGGCATCAGCTGTGCGATTCTGTAAACACATTTCTAACTTGAAATTTGGGAAGAACTTGAAAAGGTGAGATAGAAATTTGGGGTTCTGTGTAACTCGAAATTATAATAACTCGAAAATGCTCACTGTCGGACACGGAATGAAATAAGCTAAGATAATGGAGATTTTGACGTCATTATAACCCACCCATTGTTTTATTGATTTCGTCGAAAAATGGCATTGGCGTCATTGCTATTTGGCCACATTGCTATTTTCTTTTATTTAATATCTAATCTATTTATTGGATTTGGATTCGAATTGAGTTCTGTCATATAAGTGAATTTGAATTCGAGTTCGTATTTTTTAGAAATTGCTCTGCATCCTTTGACCTCGCATGTGCACCTTTTCAATCAATGAAAACGTACCTTTACTTGCTATTATATTTATTTCCTTTTAGATTGTCAAAGCACCGAGGTTTGGCAACAATTTTTGGTTTTCCGGTCAATGTCATGTCGTTTAAAGCGAAAGAAACCTGAACCAAATAGCTTATTACAAGAAATAAGAAAGTCGTTTAAATTTCAAGTTGATCGCATCTATGAAATAATTATATTTAAGTTATTCAGAACTTAATGTAATTTAAGTTTTCATTAATATTGTTATTTTGCTTTAATACTCGTACTCATCTTCTGTAAAAGCGCAAAAATTTGCAATTTTTACATTTCTTAGTATAATTCACCCCTTTTCGATCATCTATATTAATATTTTTTTATGAAAAATTCCCCCTTTTTCGATTTTGTCAAAAAATGGAAATACTGTTCTGAAACATTTAAATAAAAAATTTACATAGATGCGATCACTTTAATTTTAAGAAATTTTCAAGGTCGGAAAGCCCCTTATGGACACTCATCCTATTGTTTATCACAATATTGTACGAATGATAAATATACAGACGGTTTCTGAATCGAGAAAGGTATAAAATAACTTAAGTTTTTTTTTCGTTTCACAAGTCAAAAAGTCCTAGTTTTATCAAAGCGCTATTAACTGATCATTATAAAAATTAAAATTAGAAACGAAAAAACCTTGACGACAACAGTGACGTACACAACGAAGTACAGTTTAGTAGAGTAACTTTAAATTCTCAATGAAAAAAAACATTTTTCATTATAGCGTCGTGAATGCAAAATATAATAATTTATATTCTTATTACAGAAACTGAGTGATATAAGATGAATGAATGATAAAAATGCGTGCAAATCCAGGAATATGGAAGAATAAAATTTAATGCGTTGACCCACAAACGAATGAATTGAAACAAGAATCAATCAATCAATCAATCAATCAATTCAATCAAGAACAAGCATATGAAATTCGATTTGTATTTACTATCAAGCTAAACGACTCACCATATTAAATGATTCAAATAAGAAAATTAACTATGACATATACTACTTTTCACCGTACTACTTTTACAGTACTTTTTATCTTACTATCATCTTTCTCTCTCTTCTTATCTTTATATATTAATTATACTTTCCCAAGTTCTAGCAATTTGGGACATTTGAAATTTTATGACACATTAGTTTCTGTCTGATGCATAAATGCACCTGTGCCACCGTCGTTTAAGAAGGCTCATTATTTTGTAAAATCCGTGTCCTAAAATATATTGCGCTGACACAACATTGAAGATTTGAGTAAAGATAATGTACTTCAAATGGTTAAAAAGGTTTTATTTGATGGAGCATCAATAGCGCAGTGATGGAAGCCTTACGGCACTGTATTTTTACATAATACTAAAGCTGATCAATTGACTAGAGATGTAGGACTTTAATTCAAAGGAACTTAAATAAGTTGGATTTATCCAAATGGATATTAAAAGAGTAATCTTAAACGACACAAAATTCTTCTATTATTTGCATGAGTATAAGCAGTTTTGCTTAGTCTTAAATAGTCTCACGGGTAATTCCACCTCAGTCACCAGGGTCTATCGAATTTATTATCAAAAATCAAATCAAAATTACTTATTCAGTCTAGGCTGCTACAAGCACTTGTGAAAGTCGAGAGCTACGCGATTAGTTCGTAAATCTACGGCGGGAGACCTTGTACCGAGAAGAACCGTCAAGAAACTCGGCAAGGGCTGTTTTATTTCATACAGAGCGTCAAGATTAAAAAATGACTTCATTAAAATTTGAAGTCACTTTCCATTACAATATTACACAATATAAGAGTAAAACAGTATTTTCGTCAATCCAATCACATGTGTAGCCAAAGAAGCTCACCGATAAACAATTTAATATATATGAAAAATGAGCCATGTTTAACACTAAGCAGTTTTGTCGTTTAAATATTCATCAACAGTATAATATCCTTTACTAAGTAGACAATTCTTAATATGGGTTTTAAACTTAGGTTAATAAATATGAATTCAAAATTAATGTTTATCTTTTCAGGTTACCAAATGTCGAGAAAATCGTGCGAGGCGGGAGGTGCGCGCGGAGCCTGCCTCTGGGTACAAGAATGCAACCGATTGGGCGGGCGGCATGCCGGCGTTTGTGTCGACCGGTTCATGTTCGGTTCCTGCTGCATAATGTCAGAGAAACCACTGAACCTAGAAGGTATTAGCCATAGCTCAGAAAATTAGGAAAACCTAAGACAAGTAATAAGAGAAATGATAATCAGGCGCAAGACAAATGTTTCTTGTAATGTTATTTCTTGAGGAAGCACCATTATTTCTCATCGTATGCTATTGATAACTTATAACTGATAGATAAACTATTATTTTTTTGGTCACGCTCAAACGCTTTTGTACTAATTATGTGACTATTTCGTCAGACGTTTAAGTAAATTGGTTTAGAGTCTGAGCAGATAATTGCAGAAATTTCAATTGATTTCTTTTACTTATTTAAAAAAAATTACTAAACGATTTGTATTTTTTCAGAATCTCAAACACCAGTCACAGTCACCGATAGGCCGTACTCGTCGCCATCTAGCGGCATGCATAGCACAACAAATAAGCCGTATGAGGCTTCCACACAAACCATAGCGCGGCCCAACTGGCAAACACCAAGGCCGTCGTTCATGACCAAACCGATAGATGGCGCTCCCACGTCATACAGCTACAGACCGCCAGAAATAAACTTACCTTTATTAGACAATTTAGACGCGAGTAGCGAAAAAAATAGTGATATAGTTAATAAAATACCTTATAACAGTGTAAATAAGTACCAAAATGTAAATAGGCCAAATGGCGAAGAAACTAGTCCCAACAATAAGATTTCGTCTAGTCTTAGTATAATACCGGGCGCACGGCCTATGGCTATCTCTGAACAGCATGCGGAAAACAGTATTTCTTCAGGTAATTATAATAAAATTATTTCAGTTACTGAGTTCGTGCTTTTAAGATATTTATCTCTAAGTACCGACATCTAGGATCAATTTATGAATTAAACTTTTCATTGGATGTTTAATACACTACTAATAAAGCAGTACAATAAAAAGATTTACTATTTAAGACACAGATGGCGCTTCTTTTGAAAAATTATCATGTTAATCTTTCATTAGGCAAAACTGCTTCTTCATTTTTTTTTAGTTTAAAAACTCGGTAATAACTACTTCTCACTCTATTTTTATATGTTTTCAGCGCAATTCATGTCAAGACCAAACAACTTGAACACAATACACTGGCAAGCGACTACCGAGCCTGCGTTCATTACCAAACCGCGTCCCTCCAACTGGGAAAAGCCGGCTGGAAAGCCGAAGCCGACGAAGAAATTTACAACGACGACGAGTAAACCTCACAAGAACTACATGAAACCGAAGGAACCCATGATTTTAATTAATAAAACTGAGGAATCGACGCCTGCCTCCATTCAGACTACAGCAGCTACGGAAAGCGTTGGTAAGTAATTATTTATGAGGTATAATGGTCCATTGAAACAAAATGTTTTACCTGATTCCATAACCTAATTTAGGGATAGTAAATTGAATTCCCAGAAGATTCAAATTCTTCCTAGAACCTATTCTAGTAAAGTTAAAATAATGCCTATCTTCAAATTCATTATTTTCGCGCCGTAAGGTTTAAATATACTGTGGCGATGTTACTTAGATGTCGCTATGTATCAGTCGCCACAATACCTACTGGATGAAAACTATTTTAAAAAAATTTCTTTGCTATAGATCAACACATGTACCTTACTTGCAATATATAAAGGTCTTATGTTTAAAATATATATGGTATATTCGCGAAAGAACTTTCAAAACATATTTCAGCAACGGACCGATTGACACTCATCGACAGTGACGGACTAAGGGACCATGGCCGCTGCCATAATCACAATAAATTAATAAAGTTAAGAATGTAAGACGCACGGGGAGGGGGTAATATCAAGTTTCTATTCCGGTTGGAAAATGTTGCCACCCCGAGTCTCTGATGAGGTTAGTCCGCCACTGCTCATCGATATAACAACGTAAAAAAGTATTACAGTTGGTCAATAGTGATTTATATTTATGTATAAAAAATTAAAATTAGAACTTAGAGGATACACGCTCGAACAAAGGAAGATAATAAAAGAAAAAAAAATCTTTTCTCGTCACCGAAAGAGTGCAATTTGTTTTATGGGAGCGCTTTATCTGGTGAAGATTACATCTCGACCTCATCTAGAAGGGCATTAGAATAAACCGCAATTTATTTTAAACAAAGCATCACGGTACGTCTACGAAGCAGAACATAGAAGATAGAATTGTGTTAGAAGGTTCTTATAGACGAAGCGGGTATGCCAAAAGAAAATGATAAAGCTAACGCTCGCCCACGTTGTCTCTAGACACTGGAAAAAGGAAATGGTACAATCCAATTACATCGATGGGTTAGTAGCTGTCGCCATTCAACAGTAACTTCATTCATAATTAACTATTTTTAAATGCCTGTTTTTAAATTCCCATGTAAATTATAGCCGTCACCCATGGATGATTTAGTTTTCGGTAGGTGAAAGAATTTTAAAAATCTGTGCAATCGTCTTGGAGCCTATTCAATGTCAACAAAACATTGAAATCTTTATTCCTTATAATATTATTGTAAATCTGTCGCTATAAATTACCAGTATAGATTGCGATTAAAGTTAGGTCGATCTGCACATGTGTTTTTTTGGATAGATATTGTCCCTTTTTGAGGGTCTTACTTGACTATTAACAGTATTGGTTCACATACAAACTCTAGATTATTACTTCTAACATCTTTGTCAGTCTATGGTGTGGAGAATTCCATCCAGATAAGTGTAAGCGGCGCAATATTTCTAATGTCTAATCAGGGGAAGGATGATCTCTTTATTGACTCATCGGATGTCGGGGCCACCTGTGATTAGAGCTCGGCATTTCCTTCCAATTGTTTTGGTATTTGTTGGTAGCCATTAACTTAATGTACCTTTCCGTGGAAACTTGTTAGACTAGCTATATTAGTTCAGTAGTTCGGACTATTACCTGAATTGTTAGAATAAGGGCTTTGTGATGTCGAGGCTTTGTTACTGAAATCTAAGCTTCAGTCTTGTAATAATGTGTAAACTTATTCATATAGCTATCATTATTTTGTGTGGTATTATATTTTGATGTGCATTAACATGTCAATAAACCTCCATAGCCTTTCAACGAGCAAACATAATATACCTTCAAACGTTTTTAAGTCAAAGAAACAAAACCACAAACTCTCGCTTCTAGAATATTGTACCTTACGAACATTCATCTTTCTTAAATATCGCATTGCTAATCTCTTCGCATAATTTATATACCGTTCACCAAAAATCACTAACTATCAACCAATGTTGTACAAAATGAGCTGTGATAGAAATGAGAAAATTATATTATAATTTTTACATCCCCACTTACAGGGCTCAGGAGTGCAACCGCGTAGTCACGGTTCTAGCCATAGGATGCGACATCATATTGTGTCGATACTTCTTTTTATTGTACTTCTTTAACATCCACATTTTAAACGACTACCGAATGATAAACAATGATGATTATGGATTTGAAAGCAGCGTTACTAAATTAATAATTTACTTATTCCAAATTTATCCACCAAAAGATAAACATCGATGAAATGTTGTATCATATGGCTAGAATCATGGCTAAGGAGTTAAGCGATCGCAACACAGGCCTTCGATTTGGATTGTAAAGGAGAATAGAGGTCGTAACCCTCAACGCTGGCCTAATGCGGATCGGAGGGTATTAACGACTGCAAATTCAGCTGAGACCAATAGCTTAAAGTGCCTTCCGAAGCACGGAGTAGCTCTGATGCTACCGACCCTTGTTTACTTATTTGATTTGATCATTTTATTATATCTGTCTGTGTATTATTTCAGAATGCGGCGTAACCGCGATGTGGCCTCGGCCAGAAACTCGTATTATGGGTGGGAAGGATTCAAGCTTTGGAAGATGGCCATGGCAAGTGTCAGTTAGAAGAACATCCTTCTTTGGGTTCTCGTCAACTCACAGATGTGGTGGAGCCATTATTAACGAGGGCTGGATAGCCACAGCTGGACATTGCGTCGACGAGTATGTATAAGTTTGCCAAGTACTAAAATACTAAGAAAGTCGGTATGATTCAGTTAGTTTCATTATCAAGAGATGGTGTTGCTGTTATCATTAAATTTATTTTTTTATCTAGGAAAATGTATATTTTCTTCAATATATATTTTCTAGTATATGGATACAATTTTTAAGCTCAAACATATCAATTCAATAATTTGTATTTATTTCATTTGTTCCCACACATTTCTACGAAAAGCTACTCGTAGTTCTGAATTCCTATTTCTAAGTTTCGACGTTCCAAAGGAATTTATGACATTGTTTGTATTTAATAGAAATCTAAGTTTCCAAGAAATAAAGTTATAAAAGAAAATAACAATTATGTTGTTTTAGATATTATCAGATATTATTATTTTACTTATTATTATAAATATCTATAACATCACATCAAATAAAAAGTTCTTTACCAAATCTGTTTATGATTGCAAAGTATAAGCAGTTAATGTTTTTTATAAGCTTGATCACTTCATCATATTGATGATCGAAGATTATATTGAATTCATCCTTGCTGCTGAACAACACTTGCTGTACAACATTACAAGTCCTTAACATTATATTTCTAAACATAATATATATATCGACAAGGAAGATTATATTATTGCCCACTGGTTCACAGATCAGTTTCAAAGTGGTGTCATCTATTTTTTTATTCATAATACTCTTAACCTCAGTGCAGCCCAAGGGTATAAATGAGATCTACCGTGGGACGAGCTTGCCCTGAGGGAACCTATTCACTTGCCTCAAATAGGTCAGCATTATATGCACTCGGATAAACACCAGCAGGGAGTTCTACTCTTTGGCTGTGCGCGGTAAAATATAAATCAAATCAAATCAAAATTATTTATTCAGTCTAGGCTGTTACAAGCACTTGTTAAAGTCAAGAGTATCTAAATAAAAGTATCTCTAAGATCCTGGTCTAAATATCGTCTGGGTCAAATTGGAAAGTGATAAATTATTCTATACTGTTTCACGGGTTGGAGTGACTAGTGGTACTTTTCTTAACACTCAATTATTGATTTTCAATCCGAAGGAAATACATATGTTATATAGTAGCCAATTGACTCACAAATTGGTTTCCAAGTCGATTTCCCACCGTCACAAATTAGGGGATGATCATTCCTTTATCGGCCCCTGATTGTTTTCAGAGATCTAATCTGATCTGAGTAATATATATAATGTTTTCTAAAATTTATTAAATACTATTATTAATAGTCTTATAATATCTCTTTTCAGTCTTCTAACATCTCAAATAAGGATACGAGTGGGAGAATATGACTTCTCATCGATATCAGAACAGTACCCTTTCGTGGAAAGAGGAGTAGCTCGCAAAGCTGTCCATCCGAAGTACAACTTCTTCACATATGAATACGATTTGGCTTTAGTCAAGTTGGAGTCGCCAGTTCAGTTTGCTCCTCATATATCCCCGATATGTCTGCCAACTTCTGATGATCTACTGGTTGGTGAGAATGCTACAGTGACGGGCTGGGGAAGGTTGTCAGAAGGCGGTGTTCTACCGTCAATTTTGCAAGAAGTAAGAACTTTTCATATTAGTTTTTATTACTGTAAACATCGGTTTCTCCATAGAAATATATTTTTATCTATTATATTTCTGTGAGTTTATCTCTGTTTACCCCGTAAGATGTAAGGTGTTAAGATAAATAGTTTTAATAATAATTTAACTACTTGATATTATTTGGTCAACATTTATTTTTAATTATTTTATTTTGATATCTTAACATTATGATACTTAAAATAAGATTGTGACAGGAAGATGTTCTAAATGAATTAATATTTGATCACTATTATTGTATTTATAATAAAATAGTGATCAAATATAAATGGATTGAAATTAAATATATTCTTAATGAAAAATGCTTAATAATCCACTTTCTCCCTGGCACTCTGAGTCGGGACTCGAACCTATGACCTTAGGCAATCCGGGCTGCTCTAAGCATATATCACTACTAAATTTGCAGTAAAATAATGAAATATTTTAGTGCACTACTTCGTACAGATTATGATTTTTAATACTAATTAATATTGAACATGTAAAAATGCCATTTTAAACCTAAATAAAGCTATATTTTTATTCGAATTTTAATGCTATTATGTTTAAAAATACAGCTTTGAACATAGGCTATCGAAACAATACAAATTTATTCAAATAAAACCTACTTCAAAAGACAATGAAGGTTTTTGTTCATTGAATCGCTAATACTGCTTTGGCACTATTCGACGTTATAATTTTATAGAAAATCAAAGCTGTAATATTAAATTCGTATATATACATTGTATATAACGAAGTCTTATCCCGTTTTGTGTACACTGAAATCTTTCAAACTACAAATCTGACTTTGTTTTTTATTAATATACAGAGTGATCCAAGAGGATTGTTTATCTTTGTAATACAGGACCAAACAGGCGAAGCCGCTGGTGGAAAGCGTAAAATAACAATTAATAAAATAATAATCGTGCTTATACAGAAATACGATAATTTACAAAGTTGGTTTTAAATAGAATCCACAATATTAAATATATTGTAAAAAATAATGTTTTATCAAGATTAAATAATTAATTATGTAGGATTAACCTTTTCGTTTAGATATATTAGTGTAGAATGTTCTTTTGATTACGGTTTTTATAAAATTTACAAAATAAAAATGATTCATACATATCTCAGACATTCGAGCCCTGTCATTTCGAAACACAGTTCGCTCGTGCCGCGAAATATATAGGGAATATCAGTTTAAGGTTGAGCTAATTCGTTTTCGAAGTGAGTTCTGACAGCCAAGTGAATTCGATTGTTCACAGAATCGCTCTGCGTACTGAAAAAAACTCAATTATGTTACTGTTAATTAATGGATAAAATTATTAATGTCTATATTTGCATGCCGTGACAACATATAATTAAGGCAAAATTTGGCATGGCCCTTCTCTATTACATTTACTTTATAATTATAAACAATGCGTGTCTTATTGACAGCCTCAAAAATAATTAATTAAACCATTAGTAATATTATAAATTCGAAAGTAATCTAAGGTTTTTAAAACTTGATATGTGGTCATACTTTTTGATTGGTCTTCCAATTCTAAGTGTGAGACCAATTAAAAATACGAGCTTAAAGATAATTTCAAGCACACTTATTTAGCTTCAACTTTTGTCTAATAGGTTTGCATTAAATTCCAATTTAATTTTAAGAAACTCAATTTGATACAAATAGTCTATTCGATTAATAAACGTATCAGAATAGTAGTTATTTACGAGATGATTACTGTCCTTTTTTATTTATCGAGTCCAAGATATTTCGCCGTTGTTGCAAGTTACATGGTACCAATCCAGTAAATAACTATAATTACAAATTTAACGACCACGAAAATCTAAAACGACGTATAAATTAAAGGTAGATTAATCGGTTACCATCTTTGTTATTGCTTGTTTTTGTCGAAATTTATTTAATAAAATTTTCAGGTACAAGTACCGATAGTGTCAAATGAGAGGTGCAAGTCCATGTTTTTGCGTGCGGGACGCCACGAATTCATTCCCGACATATTCCTGTGCGCTGGTCACGAGAGGGGGGGCCACGATTCATGTCAAGGTGATTCTGGAGGACCGTTACAAGTACGTACGAAAGAGAGATAAATATATTACACAGCTACATCAAAATACCAAAATATGATGAAATAAAAAAATAAGATAATAAATATAGTTATGTACAATATTATTTTGTTGATTTGATGTCTCACGTTCAGTCATAAATACGTTCGATCTGCAATGCACAAGTTTCTATCATAAAATGGGTGAACCCAAATTTATTATTTCAAGCTCGAACATGTTTCGGAAAGCGTTAGGTCTACATCTTCAGTCGTCGATGCCATAGCTAGGTACCGTCTTTCGTCTTTACTCCTAGCGTATAAACTAGATTTGACAATTAAATATTAACTATGAAATTTAATCAACTGAATTGTAAGATGGTATTTGCGTGCCAATTAGTGAGTTATTAATGTTTATATTATCTCGGATTGATCAATATACAATATATAAGTGGGTACACTAATTGGTTTAGTACTAATAAGCTTGGGCATAGGTAATTAATACATTATACTAAGTTGTAAACAGTAATACAATTTCTAGAAAATTGTTCCAAATAAAGCTAAGGCAAAAATCGTCAGTTAAACGGTAATGGCATCGGCACTGGATGTTCTGAAAACAGATATGCAAAAAGTAACAATGCATTCAAATTACTGAAATTATAATAATCATATTTTGTCGTTTCAGGTAAAAGGCAAAGATCAACGATACTTTCTAGCCGGCATCATTAGTTGGGGTATTGGATGCGGAGAGGCGAATCTTCCGGGAGTCTGCACAAGAATATCCAAGTTCGTGCCTTGGATCCTGCAGACAGTAAACTCTTAAAGGATGGACCTAGTGTAACTGTTGTGTTCATTATAAAATATCATGTTTATACATACAGTGTGTGTGACAGTGATGTATATGCTAGAGATACGACCGAAAAGACATTACGAATTGGAACACGCAAGTGCTGTGAAGGTACCTTCAAAAATGTTGATCAGATTCAACATTTTCTGAGGCGTTTTATTTTATTTATAACATCCAGATTTTATACGGAAATTGCGAAAATATAATACAACGTAAAATTCTGTGTAACAATCTAATCGACGCTTTGACAGCTGATACTTATAAACGCCCTGCAAACTGATTTATTAGGCTTAGGAATTTCTGCCTGCCGCAGCTGTAATCTTAAAGTAATGACTGAAGGCAACCGTGAACCGCAGACCACAATCGCGAGCAAACTGCAGATAATGTTGGTCCTATAGTTTTGTGTGATATTTCGGTGACAAATTCTGGATATGCGAGGCAATAAATAATGTTTTTACGCTGAATGTGTTGCGCTCTTATATACGAGTATTCTCGTAGTCTCATATACAGAAACAAATTTATTATTAACGGAAATTTTCTGTGGTTTTATTTAAAGTTTAGAACCAAACAGTCTGCAGTATTGATGATTGTATTTGAGGTCTGCACTGACCTTTAAAATTGTACTATTGGAACCTTTTCAGACAGCAAAATATTTATTCGGCCGATAGCTTATTAGCGATTTGGGTTCATGAATCTTGACTCTCAATTCAGTCGTTAATTCAATAAGCTCATTTATTTGTGAATTCGGTTAAATGAATAATTTGCGGTCTGTAGAAGGTGGTGAAGTTGACTTATGTAAATAATTAATGTCTTTAAAAACCATGTAATCTTGTATAAGTGCTTAAAGTTAACACTAGGTTATAAGATACTGTAAATACAGTTTTATACGTACTTTTTCTTGCCTTTATATTTCTATACATTATTATATACAGTATTAGATTGTTTTCACATTTATAGCTTGTAAATATAATATAACTATTGTTCTTTAATGTATTTCAAGTTATTTTTTTAAGATTTTCGATGTAATTTAAATGCTTTAAGCTAAAATAATGATTTACCAGACCTCACAAGTTATGCATAGCTATATATTTATAGCACCCCCATGTGATGTTTGTCAATTTATTATATTCTATTAAAATTTTGTTTGAATGAATAGTTTATGATGACGTTGATTTAATATTGTTTATATTAAATATTAAAATAATAACAGAACAGATTGTTTTATTACTTCCACCGGTATCGCTGATTTCCTTTATTATCTTAATTGTCATTTCGCTTTGTAATGGCATATTGGTAGATTAAATCAAACTACATTTTTATATAATTTCGATAAATATATTTAATTCTTATTCACATTAATAAAGGGGAATATTCTTACCATAAAGGATAAAGCATAAAAATATTATATAAAAATGAAAACAGGAGCGCAGAATAAAATAACATAAGTATGTATCTAAAATTAAAAGAAGAAATATACAGAATAAAATTACACGTGTACACTTAAAATGCATCATAATTCATTTAATAATTGTTCATTAACATATTATATAAAAGTTATTTACATTTATGTATAATAATTATCTTTTGTACATGCTGTTAGCATGCTCATGCATCAGGGCCAACACATCCCGAATACTTGCATTGCTAAAATTATCCACTCCTGGAACTTTTCCACTGAATCAATCCTATATGAAGCCATAAAGCCTCTGTACCATGAAGATATTATATAATCATAGTAAAATAAATAAACATCTTTGAATTCATCACTGCAGCTTTCGAAACCAGGGTGTATTGCACCTGGTGTATTCCTACAATGAATACTATTATATTTCACATCGTATATTGGTATGGGCCGTGTGATCGGCACTCTTGGTATACCAAACTCCAAGTCCAGCATCCAAGACACATTGTTATATAAATTGGCCAATTTACATAGTTCATCGATTACAGGATTCGGATCCAGTTGTGCCATTAATGCTGTGGGGTACAAGTTTCTGGGTAATGTTAAGTAATACGCAGGGTCCGTTGGTATTATTGCTTCATCACCTGGCATATAAAAAACCACGTCTGTGCTCAAGTTTCCATCAGCGGATGGTCGGTGTTCACTTGGTGAATCTGTATCTGGTACGATTTGTTCCAGTGACCTCTCAACTATAGGTTCGTTTTCGGAGTCAGAGATAGATGGCACTTCTGCTACAGATACGGATGGAGGCAGCGATAGTGATGATTGTAGTTGTTGTGGTAACTTTTGTTGTTGTTGTGGTGATTTTTCTTGTCTTGACGGTAGTTGCTGTTGTTGCTGTAGTAGTTTTTGTCGTTGCGATTGCTGTGGAGACGGTTGGTGTAGCGGTGGTTGCTTTCGATGTGGTTTTTGTCGATGCGGGTGTCGTCGTTGCGGTTGTTGTTGTGACGGTTGTTGCTGTGGGATTTGTTGTTGAGGCGGTTGTTGATGTGGCGTTTGTAGTTGTGATAGTCGTTGTCGTTGTTGCTTTTGATTTTGTTGTTGTGACTGTTTTTGTTGCGGTTTTTGTCGTTGCGGTTGTTGTTGTTGAGGCGGTTGTTGTTGTTGTAGCGGTTGTTGTTTTGGTGGTTGATGTTGTGGCGGGTTTCGCCGTTGCGGTTGTTGCCTTTGCGGCCGTAGTCGTTGCTCTTGTTGTTGTGACTGTTTCTGTTGCGGTGATTGTTGCAGTACCGGTTGTGGTTGTGATGGTTGTTGCTGTGCCGGTTTTTGTTGTATCACTTGTAGTTGTGGTGGTTCTTGTTGTGGTGGTTCTTGTTGTGGTGGTTCTTGTTGTGGTGGTTCTTGTTGTGGTGGTTCTTGTTGTAGTGGTTCTTGTTGTGATGGTTCTTGTTCTGGTGGTTCTTGTTGTGGTGGTTCTTGTTGTGGTGGTTCTTGTTGTGTTGGTTCTTGTTGTGGTGGTTCTTGTTGTGGTGGTTCTTGTTGTGGTGGTTCTTGTTGTGGTGGTTCTTGTTGTGGTGGTTCTTGTTGTGGTGGTGCTCGTTGTAGTGGTTCTTGAGGTGGTAGGTTTTGCGGTGGTAATTGTGGCGGTAACTGTTGAGGAAGTAGCTGTTGTGGAAGATGTTGTGATGGTGGTAATTGTTGTAGTGGCAATTGTGGTGGTACCAGTAGTTGTGGTGGTGGTGGTGGTATATGTGGTATTCTTGGCGCCATCTGCGTTCTAATAGGCAATCTATTCATATAAATTGGTGAAGCTAAAACAGGTCTTGGATTATATACAGGTATAGGAAAGCGATAATAAGGCATATTATACATTGGATCTTCTATATACAAATCAATATTCAAATTGAAAACACTACCGTAATTTAACTGTGGATACCTAGGATAATAAGGCATTATGACAGGTGGCAGGTGGTGTCTTATAACCGGCACTAAAGCTCTTGTCGGTGGTACGCCAGGTGAAACAGGTGGCACGCCAGGTGAAACAGGTGGCACGCCAGGTAAAACAGGTGGCACGCCAGGTAAAACAGGCGGCAAGAAGTATCTCACAGGTGTCACACCGGGTATTACAGGTGGTATGACGTGTCTTAGAAGTGGTACCTGGTGATGTGTCACAACCGGTCTTGCAGGTGGCACGTCTGGTATTACAGGTAGTACGTCTGGTATTTCAGATGGCCCGTCAGGTATTTCGGATGGCTCATCAGATGTCATAGGCGGTGCAACGGACCTTAAAGGAGTTACGATGCATACAGGTCTCTCAGATGACCCTATAGGTTTTTGAGGTGTCACAACAGGTCTTACAGGCAGTGAAACAGGTTCTACAGGTGTCGCGACATGACTTTCTGTCGGCGAATCGGGTATTACAGTTAGATCATCGGTAGTAACAGTCGACTCAGCCGGTATTGCAGTCGGCACGTCTGATGTTAAATGTGTCACATCAGGTGCCAAAATTGGTGACACTGACTCTGTTTCTTGTCGTTCAGTTTCACTTACAGTAGAAGCTGAATGTGACAAAACTCTTTTTTTTCTTGGATGACCCATATATGACTCACTTGTACTAGTACTGGATCGTGATAGTCTTCTAAATCGGGGGGGAACCCTATACCTTTCACTAGAGGTGTTACTTGCTTGTTGTTGCAATGGTTCTGATGTATATCTTGTAAATCGAGATGACACAATATAAGCTTCCTGTTTCCTTTTTGGTTTATTTATTTTTCTATTATCTTGCGAGTTATCTCTATTTTGTTGATTTTTATCGTTTTCTCTACATGTATGAAGATGTTTTTTAGTTTTATTGATCATCATATGACATGCCTGGAAAGAAAATTTTGAATATCAACTTAACAATTCAATAGTCAGATATAACATTGAAATATCATCAAATATATTATAAAAACTTACTTTGAATTATATTCGGGAACGTTTCGGCACTTAATAATTATAAAACATTAAAAAATCAAGTAATTATACTTTCGTCATTACATTTCAAATAAAAAGGTGAGAAAATAGCAAAGTCAGTTTAACGATAACCCATTTTCAAATTACCCTCAGATTTCTTGTTAAAAATAAGCGAGCCGCGTTTCATTTATGCTCCATGGAGCCACAAGAGAAAATTATGTTGAGAGAAGTGGAAATAAATTTTATTTCTATTTACCATGATGTTTTGCAAATGTATGTGAAATTATTTCACATTTTTGCTGAAATTGAAGCAGAATAAAATAATTAAAGTTGTCAGAAAAATTACGTTTTACGTATTATTCGTTAAAAAAGATATCATAAGAATCAATAGGAAACTTTTTGAATACTTACTAATAAAACAAAAGCGCAGTCGTGATAATTACAAGCTTTACTGAGAACATTCCATAAAGATTCCTTTGCCTTCATAGTTATTAAAGAACTGTTAGAAAAGAAAACAACTAAAGACATATATCCGATTGCAAAAAGATTATTTTTAAAGTTTAACACCAACACAAAGGTCTGTCCTAAATTAGAAAATCTATATCGGTAATGTTGCTTTCAACTAATGAAAAATTTTAATGGACGTTTGTGCAACTGGGTGAAAGACTTTCAAAGTTATTTTTAAATAACTTTTCACACTATATTATTTTTATAAACATTGAAATTTAAACAATACTGCCAACCGTGACGAATCATATCATACGTTACGTTAGCAAAAGATTGCGAGTGTTGTTAAAAATATACGTTTCAATCGAAATTACAGCGGATGTGGTTCCAAAGGTATTCTTTAAAAGAATTTCCCGCTGCAAATTGCTCTCGTTCACGGGCTTTAACGATGTCCATTGTGCTTGCGACTGGCTCGGGAATGGAACCTGCACCGGTATTTAGTCTAGCGTGCGACTGGGACCCCCTACTACTGACTCGCAACGCCACATCAATAGCAATATCAACTGATAGTAACAGCTATAAATATATATTTTTTATATCAATGATTAAGTTTTTTTCTTTAATAATACTGTTACTAAAGTTCTGCACCTCAAAAGAAAAAAAAAAATACTATCATATTATCACTCAGTTGACTGTCTGTAGATCCTTCTGTGATAAGTCTTATTTTTTATGTTATATCAGCATAAATCACTGTTTTTTATTAATTTTCACACTAATAACCAATAAATATTTTTAATTAACAAAATAAACTTTACTAAGTAAAGCGTTCTGAGGGACTTCTAACACCCAGTTGCACAAATGTCCATTAAAGTTTAAGTACGACTTTAGGTTCTACAATAGGTACCCTGAAAATGCTATATGCTTAAAATTGTAAAGATTTTTATTAAAAATATTTATAAAAAGAGCAAAACCAAAATATTTTAAAAGTATCGGTGATGTTTACGCCGAGTCGTGTGGCGCCACTGGCGGGCGAGTACAATTTTTCATACACATGCTCGATATACGGGAATGGGTTAATCTATATCTATGCAAATAAACAAAAATCAATCTAAAACTAGACAGCAATTATAACGTATTCTATAAAAATAACACAGATTTCCGATTGAAAAATTTCGGGCGCCCTCGTGAATTTTTTAAAAGTCGAAGACGACTTATTCTGTCATAAGTATATTGTCTTTCTAACAAATTTAATCAATGCACCAGAGAAAATAAAACATGTTTTTTTGTCTCTCATAGCAACACCAGGGATACTGAGCTGTAAGCGTACTGCTGTGGCTCGCCTGGAGCGCCTGTGTGGGAAAAGTGTGTACTGATCTATCAATGCAAGCGGTGCCCTTCTATAAGTAATGAGACACTTAGTATATAACCTTGTCTGTAATTTTTATTGTAGTTTTAGTGTACTCATTATTGTGAGAGCCTGATAAATAAATAAATAAATTGTACCTGAAGGCGAAAATTATGAGTACAATGTATTCTTCAACAATCGATAGTGACGGATTTATTTAAATTTTGTGACATAATAAAAATAACTGTGTCATAAAAGGTTTTAGTTGAAGCGCCATTGACTTTTTATAATTACACTAACATCAGCTGAATTACTGACTCTGTGTATAGCAGTTATATAATAACCACACTCACACTTATTATATACTGTTACTTATTATACAATACGAATTCGTTCTACGAAGGGTGGGGTGAGACGGGCTAAATATAATAATTGCTTTACGCGTGAAAGAAGTCGCCGAAGTATACCGATGATTTAATATATATATATAAAAGCGTAAGGTCACTCGCTCATCACGAAATCTCAGAAAGTACAAGTGCTGTCACGTGACCACATACAGCTAGTGGCGTCACGCCCTTCTTATTCATTTCCGAACTTAGAGAATTCAACCTTATACATACATAGAACGATATAAGTTTCAGAGGGTCGTGTCGTCATAGCGACGCCATTACAGAAGTGACGTTTACGCGGGAAATTTGAAAATTAAATTTATTTTAATTATATTAATATTATTATTATGTTTTTTCATTTTTTTTAAATAAAAATACAAAAAATGTTTACAACCTCTTAAATAATAGTTATTTAAGATACGAGACGGAAAGTAAGGTTTTACATTGGCACGAATTCGAAAAACTTTTTAAGCTCAAGTTTCTTACAACATTTTTCAATGCTTTTTGCGAGGAAATAAAACTAAGTATGTATTAAAGGTAAAAATTATTTGTTAAAATGAAACGTGATATTTGTACATGTTTTCGTGTCATACATTTTTATTTCAAAACATTTGTTCTAGGCTCCTTGAAATTCTTTTGCCTCTAAAGTTTGACAAAAAAAAATACTTTTAAGCACGTGTGCAGTAAAGGATTTCAGTACATTTTTATTTAACACGAGTTTAAAGACTCACTTTCGGTGTTTATAATGGATTAAAAAAAGAGCGCTTTATGAGCAACTGCATTGAAAAATGAGTTTTAAATGGTTTTATCCATCCAATTATTCAATGATAAAACCGTTTAAGAACCGTTTCATTTAATGAATAGTGCATGTGAAAATTAGTTATAAACCATGTAATAAAAAACAGTATAAAATATTCATTGTTAAAACATATAAAATCAAAATTAAAATTGTTTATTTAATTTAGGCTTTCACAGAGCACTTGTGAAAGTCGAAATCTACGCCATCGGTTCCCAAAATTACGGCGGGAGACCTTGTACTGAGAAGAACCAGCAAGAAACTCAGCAAGGGCTGCTTTTTTTTTCCGTTTTATTTCACATAGAGAAATCCTATTGAAAATATTATGACTGAAAATAATATATTTATAACTATCGCTTAGAGACAAATGGTAGGACCCTGGAGCTGGTTAAATGGCTATTAGTGTGTTTGATCCCTGATCGCTTTGTGATATGTTACGCTTTTTGACAATTTTCAGAAGAAGAAAATTGTGCTTTGTGTGGTTTTTACATAGGTACTTGTACGTTCTTTTTAACCGACTTGAAAAAGGAGGAGCTGGTATTTTAACACGACAAAGAAGTGACACAAAACATGTTTATTGTTAATTTTATGCGAGAGCCGCTAGAACTTTAAAATGACTGAACAGATTTGAATGCACGTAATATCATTAAAAATGTTACAACACTGGAATTTCGAAGAAACAAACGTTCAAATAGACTCAAATTCATAATAAAAATAAAACACGACATAATGCTTGTAAAACGTGAATTTATAAAATTTTGTAGATAGAAAAAAAATAACCAAATGGTTTTTTTTTTACTAAGAAATTCAATAGGTTTCTTTTTTACAATCTTTTTCATTTCCACATATTCGGAATATTCGTATTGTCGCTTATATATCGGTACGGGTGCATTCCTAATAAACATTTCTCGCTCACTAGTGTTGGAAAATTGAAAATAAGGCAAAATTATTCATGCCTAATAGTGCATGAGGCAGAGATATTTTTTGATACGAAACAATTTAATTACTGAAAAAGCTTAATTGAGTTTTCAATTCAATTTTTCTATATATACAGTAAAGATAATTTTGGAATAGTTTCATTCAGAATAGAAACATAGTTTTTTTTTAATTATAGATATTTAAAGATTATTTATCTATCAGGAACAAAAAAAAGGATAAACGGAATCCTTATACGATCACTGTCAGTCTGTCCGTATGTCTGTCAAAGCCGTTATCCGAAACTACCTTACTGGATTGACTGTTTTTGGATCGGTGACCCAAAAACATTACTCACATCCCAAATTACGTAGCTAAAGTTTATGTACTATGTAAATTCGAAACAACGAATTACTTCAACTAGGTCTTCTTTAAAAATACAAAGTAAATTCTACTTTATTAAATTGCTTCTAGTGGTGTTTCTTTTATGATTAAAATTAATAATATATATTTACTATATTACAACGTATAATTGAAATATTATGCAATACTGTAATCATAATAATTTGCAAATTATGAATAAAAAAACCAGCCAAGGGCAAGTAGGATTTGCGCACGAAGTGTTATGTGCCGGAAATGAGTAAAAAACATCACTTTTAACTACACTCAAATCGAAAAATTCGAATTACGAATTCAAAGACGATTCTATACATTGCTCAATATAGTTCAATAAATAAAAAAGCATTCTATTTCGTGGAATATGTTATTTTCGATATCTGTTTGTCTGATTGACTGCTCGTTCATTTCATTTCGTATACTTTTTGTCTTTATGTGCATTAGGGTCTTATTACACGCATACCATTGCTTGAACTTCTCTGATGAGGAATATACGTTAATGCGAGATTGTACAGAATTACCACTTTTATTTATTATTACAATTATCACACCAATTCTATTATTTAACTGTGCTGATATTTGACAAATAAAAATAATTTAAGGGAAATTAAACAAA